ACACATACACACACCACACACCCACACACAAACACATGCACACACGCGCACACACCAAGGCATGCTTCCCTATGAACAATGCAGAAAGCAATCCATCTATATACCTGTTCAATAATCAAGAGATTTCTAAAAACCACAACAATAGATTATTTTGGCAGTAGTTGGCCATTACAACCTGAACCAAGAGAATAAGTTGACACCACAATAAATGGAGTCATTTTCATTATTTATTGGTATTCATATTAATTATCAAGAACACTTATTAATTACAACTTGTTCTTGAGTGTGACATTAATTATTTATGACAACTGCTATTAGCACAATATGGGGTCAGCTGTATCCACTTAAAAAAGCCCCAGTACTTTTCCTCCTCATTTGTAGCAAACCCCAAACTCCCTCTCTGTCCCCTCAGAATCTGCAATGAGCCCACTTGTGTCGAGGGTTGCTCATTTCTGTCTTCTTGACCTGTGGGTTACTTGTTACTGATAGTCCCCCCCCTCCACAGGAGAGGGGGCCAGCGATAACCCTTGCTCTGAAGTGTACCATGGCCCCCACCCCAATTCTGAAGTGGAGGTGAAATCGGTGGTGGATTTTATTCAAAAGCATGGGAACTTCAAGTGCTTCATTGACCTGCACAGCTACTCACAGCTGCTGATGTATCCCTATGGGTACACAGTCAAGAAGGCCCCAGATGCCGAGGAGCTGGTAAGTGATGGAGGCCTTCTTCCTGCCGCCAACCTGCTTTGATTTTGGCATGGCTAAGGTGGCTGATCTATAGCTTTAGAGGACAAGCATGGGAGCCTGGGTACCATGGTTAATGGATAAGTTAAAGAGGGTATAGGTTGTAGTCTGGGGGTTCTGTCGCAGCCCATGACTCATCCTTGGACTAGGGCAGGCACCTATAGATGGTCTAGCAGGAATAGGGCTGATATCTTCAGGATAGCTACAGGCCTATGCCTCCATGCTGGTCAGCTGGGGCACCACCAGTCCGAAAGTCTGTGCATTGAAGAAGCCCTCCACCCCCAACTCATGGCTAGATATGGACCAGAGTTGGTTTTCTATTCAAGGCTTTTCTCTTGAACATATTTGGCCTTCTGTCATGTTCTTGAACAAGACGTCCCCCTCCCTTAGGATATCTAGGTAATCTATCTTAATGAGATTCCTGCGGGGTTGGCAAGCAGCTCTCTGGGCTTCCTGAAAGCTTGCGAGAAGACCTTCCAGACAGAGTTTAGAACCTCAGAGGGTTCACTGATCTCTGTTCATCTCCACCCTCGCAGGACGATGTGGCGAGGAGTGCAGCCGAAGCTCTGGCTTCTCTCTCGGGCACTAAGTACCGAGTGGGACCGACTTGCACCACCGTCTGTGAGTATCACTGGGTGTAAGCTATTTAGAATGCACCTTGGGAGGAAACTTGAGAGAGGGTAGGAGAGATGGGAGCTTTCTTTTCCTGTGTTATCATCTGATTGTCTCAGTGGTTAGTAGCAGACCGAAATCCATGTCAAGACTTTGTGACAAATGGCTGCTGGAGGCACTATCTCCATCAGCGTCATCACTCCTCTCATGCTTCTCATGTCCCCTTGATGAGTTAGGACCTGTCAGACAGGAGACTACGCTTCTCATTTGTATTAAGGCTCCTGACATGGTTTATCCAAAAGTTATCAAACCCTCTCCTCCATGTGTGTGTATGTGTGTGTGTGTATGTTTCTGTCTGCATGTATGTGTGTTCGCACACTTATGTGTATGTGCGTGTGGAAGCCAGAGGTCAACGTTGGGTGTCTAATCTCTGTTTTCCATGTCATTTTTTTTTTGAGACCAGATCTCTCACTGATTGGCTAGACTGGCTGGCTGGCAGGTACCAGAGATCTGACTGTCTTCTTCGATCTGTGTGTGTGTGAATGCTTCGAATCCAGATCCAGGCTCTTATGCTTGAGTTGTTTCTGCAGGTATCTGTCCATTTTTTTTCAGAGGAAACTCCCAGCTTTGTGTTGGGAGACGGATGGCAGAGATACCGGGTGTTAGATGTAGCCTAGTGGAAGAGAGCCCTCTAACTAGGACAAGTATCTAAAAGAAGGAAAAAAAAAAACCCTACCAAGTCTCCAAATCCAAATCCTGGCCTCGAAGCTTGTCACCCACAGCCTCATTTGTAGGACATATTTGTTTTGGTTTCATCTGAGCATTTTACTGAATTTCTGTTGGCATCTTACCAGTTATCTTATTTTAGACATCTGTCTTCAAGTGATGAAAAAATGTCATACCGCACAACTCTGGCTAAATGGGAAACATGAGTGTCAACATGGGAAGTAGAATTCTGTTCCTTCATTAGGGAGTTTGTCCCTCTACAGTGCTTTCTCTATAGCAACCACTGTACCTTTGCCTCAGATTTGGGCATACTCATTTCGGGCTGTGTAGCTACAGAGCAACATAAAGCAGTTAGCATGATGCTGGTGTTTGTCTTGCTAATTGCAGCAACAATTCATTAATTATTCATAGTTTATTGCTATTAGTGTTGTTAAATGAGGACTCTTTAGAGGACGCATCTGGAGACTTTCTCCTCCCTCTGCTTAATCAGTCAGAAGTGAACCACTGACTAAGAGAGACTTACTAGGGCTCACTAGGAATCCCTTGAGGAGGTCTTCCCAAAGGACTTTGTGGGTCACCAGGGTCCCTGCTTTTGGGTGAAACATCAGTTTAAATAAGGCACATCAAACACATTCTTTTCCCCAGCATGAGCTCTGTCAAGTCAAGGGATACTCACCAGATGCCTCTCTCAGGAGGGAGGACTGTCTCAGAGCCATAAAACTTCCTATCTTTCAAGAACATTCTACGTCCTTTTTAGGTCTTCTTGGCCTCCATTGCTTTCTGAAAGAGCAGTCAATTTTTGTATATTAAAAGTCTGTCTAACCCAGGGGCTCTGGCATGTGCTGTATCCCTGGTTGGTGTCTGTCCCTTTTCTTGGAGTCACCATTTGAGATAAAAGTAGTTCACACTTTCTTACTTCCTTAAAAAGAACATAGGAAAGAGAGCTCAGTGCACACATGCCCCTCCACACACAATTGAGTGGTTTTCTGAAGATGAATTATTACACCCTGAGGACGTGATATGTCTAAAGTCCTTCTGCTAACTAGCTCTGCCCAACTTGGCTGCTTTAAATCTTGTGTCTATATATATATATTATTTTTAAATTAATGCTTTTAAAAGTTAGTATAGAAACTAAGAGCTTCATGGTAGTGTTCTCAAGCAGCTCTGTCATGCTCATCTGTCTGTTCCCTGCCACCCACCTCTTCTCACTGCTTTGTCTGCTCTTTAGAGTCTTGTGCTTCCTTCCTCCTGTCAGTCGGTCATGGCCATGTTTTCTGCCTTCGAGCCAACTCTTGCAACTCATCCGTTTTCTCTTTTACTGCTTCTGATTTACTAGGGGCTTCTGATCTAGTAAGTTCTTAGGCTCATCTGACTAGGATAAATCATGGGTTTTAAGGATGTTTGTGACAATGTTATTTATCACCACAAAAGTCTGGTAAGCATCTAAAATTCCCATTAAGAGATGGCTAGACAAAAATACAATTGGCACGTTCATACAGGGAAGTATTAAGCTTCCCTTAAATGAATTTGGTGGATCAATATGTGCTAATAGGGAATGATCTTCAATCTGTTTTTCAACTAATTGAAAAAATAGAATGTGTAGAATGGTGTTAAGTGTGTGTGTGTGTGTGTGTGTGTGGTGTGTGTGTGTGTCTTACAAGATCTAGGAGATAGCTTGGTTAGGAGAGAGTTTGCTGTGCAAACATCAGCACCTAAGTTCAATTCCTCAAACCCATATAAATAAGCCAGGCACTGTGCTGTCCACAGTTAAGGTAGCTAAAGGGATGGAGGCAGCTTAGCCCAGCTGGTGAGTCCCAGGCCAGCAGGAGACCCTGTCTCTAAATATAAGGTAGACAGCACTGAGAGCCAGCATCTGAGACTGATCTTCGATCTCACATGCATATGGACACTCATGCATCTTCACACACATATGTACACATGTACCCCACATGAATGTGTACACATACAAGCAAGAGTAGGTACACACTGAGCAAGGAATTAGACAAAATGAAGCTTATGAACTTGATCAACTTTGAATACCAAGCAGTATCCTTTGTGCCTGCTTCCAGTATCTTAAGTGTGTTATGAAGTACTTGAGTTTATCCTGTAAAGAACAACTGGACGCCCCAGGTATTAGGGGTTGGTTTTCTTTTTTCTTTTCTTTTTTGCTGAAGTATTTCTCAGGGTGGAAAGACTATGGGGGGGAATCACACAAAAGCTTCTGAGAGTGGGGCAGAGCCCATTCCATTCCCTTGGGAACAGGCAATCTCCGTGGAAGCTGTATCTCTAGAAAAGTCCCAGACACGTCCATGAGAAATGGTTCTCAGGGATAAGGGAAAGGAAGGGCCTGGGCTTACAGTTATCAGATGTGTTAATCCACCAGATGGACCTCAAGTAGATTGGATAGACCACTTAAAAGGATGTGGGCTTAAATTCCAGCTTTACCCTTTTCTGTCTGCATTTCCTTAGCTGCTTTACCCAGGCTGAGCCTGGACTTTCCCATCAGTAAACTAAGGGCAGTAATGGCCATCCCTGGATTTTCAAGATTATGTTATCAATGGATGTAAAATGTTGGGTATAACAGCTACCTCATGGCAGATGCTGGGGGAAAAAAAAAGAATATCTGCTATTGTCATTATTTTATTAGTGACAGTTGGAGGCCAGTTCCTGCTCTGGCAGTTTGGGAAGAAGCAGAAAAATAGATGTCTTATCTCTTTCAAGTCTTCTGGCAAAGGGAAGTCCCAAGGAATGTGCTTCCTTTTCCTCTGTGCATCAGTTATCTCTTGCTGTGTGGAAAAAAAAAAAAAGCAAACAAAACTAAGCTAAACCCTCTCAGTTCAACTGGATAAACATTTCTTTTCTTACCCCGTGTGTGAGTCAGGAATTTAAGACCATCTTATGGGAATGAGTCTGGGGCAGGGTCTTGCAGAAGGTCACAGTTAAGCCACATTCCCAGATTACAATCAAGCAGACCTCAGGGCTGGGTGGTCTGCTGGTGGGGTGGCTTGCTCCGGGGCCTGGTGAATTAATGTTGATTCCTGGCAGGAGGTTGCATTTCTTCACCCAGCCCATGCATTTCTTATTGGGCTTCCTGGGTGCCCTTACATCAGTGGCAGCTGGTTTTCCCCAGACCCAGTGACCTGAAGACAAAGACTCTCATGACAATTTCTTTCTTCAGAATCCTGTTAACTCTGGATATGAGGCCAGCTTTACTTCTATCTAAAAGAGGATGACATAGGGCACCATTTCAAGGGGACAGGGGTCACTGGCACTAAAGGGGGGGGTACCTGCCTCACTCTGTCATTAACAAGATAGATTTGAGTTTCCTGGAGGATTGAAGTGATTTAGTGACAAGATAGGAATGAGATTCCATTTTTTTTTGGCATATATATGTATGTATGTATGTATGTATGTATGTATGTATATATGCTATTTGTATCTATGCATGTTTAATATATACATGTATATGAACATGGATGCAGAGAAATTTACTATCTTTTTCTGTCACTTTTCACTTTATTGAAGCCGGGTTTCTTTGCTGATCCAGCTAGCCTAGCTAGGCAGCTTGCTCCAAGGATACCCTGACTCTGCCTCCTGAACCTTGCAATTACAAGTGGGCCGCCATGGCTAATCAACATTCTGTGGATCCTAGGGCTCTGAACTCTACTACTCAAGCTTGAATGGCAAGCAGTTTGCCCACTAAACCATCTCCCCTGCCTTGGGAATGAGAATTTAAAATCGTAGTATGAGATAACCTGAGACATATGGATGGAAATGAAGCCAATGTGCCTTTGGAACATATGTCTCAGGGCCTGATGACTTTCAAAGAACTCTGGACTCCAAGGAAGTCCATCCAGGCTGGGCTCTCATCCTTTTCCATAGGAACCTAGAGGAATTCTTGGATTGAAGTAGGCTTCAATGGTGTCTTCTTCTGACTTACAGATCCAGCGAGTGGGAGCAGCGTCGACTGGGCATACAACAACGGCATCAAATATGCTTTCACATTTGAGCTGAGAGACACTGGGCACTATGGTTTCCTCTTGCCAGCCAACCAGATCATCCCCACTGCGGAAGAGACCTGGCTAGGCCTGAAGGCCATCATGGAACATGTTCGGGACAACCTCTACTAGTCAAAGAACTCTCATATTTAACCCTTAAGCCACCACAGTTAAAGAACAGATCTTCACGAATAGGTCAGAGTCTTCTGGGTTGACAGAGAACTCAGCTGGCTCCTCTAACAGCGTTGCTTCACCGAGATCACACATCCTGGTAGTGAACGCGTGAGGAATACTTCCTCAGTGTAGTGGTTGGCCCTGCTGCTCTACTGAGCCTTTGGTATGCCTCTCTACTTAGGCAGCTGGTTAGGCAGGCCACATTCCAGGTCATTACTTCCTGGTAGCCTATGGCTACCTCGATTTTAGAACTTTGATGGTTCTCTAGTCTCTCCATGTAGCCTCAAGTAGGGAAGCATGGTAGGTGCTGGGGAGACAAGGCTTGTCTTTAGAACTCTGTAATTTCTCCTTCTCTTTCTTTTTTCTTTTAGACAGGGTCTTACTATTTTGCCCATGCTAGCCTGAAGCTCCTGGGGTCAAACTGTACTCCTGAGACCCCTCCCCGCCACCAGTCTTCGCAGTAGTGGTTTGCAGCTCAGGAACACACTTTTCTTTGAGGAACAAATCCTAGTAGACCACCATCATAGCTCTTCCTACTCTTGTTTGTTCCTCTTACTCCATTTCTTTTTCTTTCTCCTCCTCCTCCTCCTCCTCCTCCTCCTCCTCCTCCTCTTCTTCCTTTTCTTCTTCTACCTCTTACCCCTCCTCCTCCTCCTCCTCCTCCTTCTCCTCCTCTTCCTCTTCCTCCTCCTCCTCTTCTTCCTTTTCTTCTTCTACCTCTTACCCCTCCTCCTCCTCCTCCTCCTCTTCTTCCTCCTCCTCTTCTTCCTTTTCTTCTTCTACCTCTTACCCCTCCTCCTCCTCTTCCTCCTCCTCCTCCTCCTCTTCCTCCTCCTCCTTTTCTTCATCATCATTGAGACAGGATCTTTTTATGTAGCCATGACTGTCCTGGAACTTGCTATATAGACCAAGCTGGCCTTGAACTTACAGAGATCTGCCTGGCTCTGCTGTCAGCATACATTAAAGGAATTAAAGATGTATATCACCATATCTGGCTCATCTTAATTCTGTCCTATTGGCTTGAGTACACAGTCAGGCTCTTGTCCATTACAAGGTTCAGTGTTCAGATGATGCCCCCCCCTTTTTTTAACCCTCTTCTCTTTATATTTGGTGTTACTGGGATCCTCAAAGGGGCCAGTTAATTATACTGTAGGTGATGCTCACAGGGGTCATGGGGAAATGGGACTAGATTGCTGGGACAGATTAGTTCCATCTGTCCTGTTGGCCTTGCCACCACTCTGCCTTTTGAACTCACTTCAAAGATTCTGACCGCACCCCACAGGTCCTAAATCATCCCTATAGCCTGGATAATCTCAGAGCCTCAACGCGTTCCAGCTTGGGCTCTGGTGTACCCTGTGTTTCAGTCTCCTGGTTTCTTTCCTCCTGTGTTTAATGTCACCAATTTTGCATCCTGGACCCTGAGTACCTACCTGGAACAAGACTTCATCATTGGCCAGACACTTCCTGTTCACTCCTTAGCACATACTGTCTGCCCTGTTTGTGTTGTGGTTTTTGGTTTGTTTGTTTGTTTGTTTGTTTGTTTGTGGGGTTTTGGCTTTTCTTTTCTGTTTTCAATCATGTCTATAAATCTTAACCTTCTGTCTAGGATTTGGGCAGCATCTGGTGTGTCCTCATAAGCTAATAAATATTCAAAATGGGTCTCATGATCATCTTTTATTCTTTGCTTTTACCTGAACAGAACTGAGCCCCAGCCTTGAATATGCAGCTCTTTATAATGTCAAAAGTAAATTTTAATCTCTGTTCCTATCGCATGACATGTACGAAAGCCTATTTCATCAGGCTGAGGGGCCTCTGGGGCAATGTTACCTTGGTGATTTCACTCTGGCTGGTTCTACTTCCTTAGTTTTCATCCCTGAAGCTTGATATTCAGAGCTTCCGTGTTGATTAGACCCAGGGATGCTGACTCACGCCTTTGGAGCCCAGATGAGGCCGATGATAAAATCAGAATACGAATTTATTCATTTACATCATGGCATGTAACTGTTTAATGGGTTGGATCCTCACGTCGGCTAAACAGTATATTCTCAGTACATTCTCTCCCTGTAGACAAGATACATGGGCAGCCAAATTATAATCAGAAGGTTGCTTAGTGAGCAGGCGTCGGAGCAAGGAAAGTTAATTACAGTCTATGATTAGAATTTTTAATGGCACCCAGCTCTAATAGAATGATATGTCTACTTCTATAACCAGAACACACCTGCCAGCTGGTCACTTGTGTTGGGTAGGGAGGGCTGCTACAAATGTGACATCTTTGTAGTCACCACTATGCTTGCCTCTGTGACCCACCTGTGACCTAGCTCCATTTCTGGCCACTGCCTTCAGATTGAGATTTTTCCTTCAGATCTTTCAGGGATTTCTTAAGCAGGGCATGAAGAGCCATAGAAGAAAAAAAAAATAATGGTACATGTGACTAGAATAAAACCTAGAACATTAGTTCTTTAAGAGACACAGCAAAGCAAGTTATAAGAGAGTCACAACATTCATAATCTAAACAACAAAGAATGTATGCAGACCTGCATATTAGTAAGAAGACAAATAACCCTATGGGGAAACTGGGCAAGCTATTTAGCATATATAAGCATATGAGCATATTGTGCAAGAGGAGGGACATATGTCTGACAAACGTATGTTTGAAAAGATGATGGGTGACTGAGGGCATCCAGAGCAAGGAGGCCATTAGTTAACAAAAATGGAAACATTGGAACGGATGTGAATGAAAGGCTCTCTTACATATCCTTAGTGGACAGATGAATTAGTAAAACCACTAATGTGGAAAACATTGCATCACTGTCTCCTGAAGCTTATAGCTTATGATGCGGCTACTTCCACCCCAGAAGCGAACCTGAGAGATGTGATGGGAAATTTAGGCAAGAACAGTCTCGGAGGCACTGTTCATCACAGTGAAGGCCTGGAAATAACTTGAAAGAACATCATCACGGTTGACACTGATACATAAAGCATGCTGTGCCCACATGCTGAAATAGTGTGCGTCAATCAAAATTTACTATAATTTTTTTTGAGAATTAAAACAGCATACCCACACATATATATACACGGACACACGGACATACACATACAGTATAAGGAAGACAAGTATATCTTGATAAAATTATTTAAGGGAAGGAAGACAAAGCTGACTTATCCCAACCCTCCTTCCTTGTAAAATGCACCGACTCCTTAGCTACTATGGGTGTTCTCTGTTCATAGTTCAAATCTCACCTCCTTTCTTTCTTCTTAAAAAACAAAATACCATATTTATTCTCTCCCTTCCTTTCCCTCTCCCTCTCCCTCTCCCTCTTTCTCTCTCTGTTCATTCATGCAGGTCAGAGCACAACTTTCAGGAGTTAATTCTCTCCTTCTACCATATGGGTTCTGGTTCTGAGGCTTGGTAGCAAGTGCCTTTACCCACAGAGCCATCTGGCTGGTTCAAGTTTTACTCCCATTTTTAGTCCCAAGACTTGATATTGACCAAATAAGGTCTGCCTCAGTTAGGAAACTATGTTTTCTTTTTCTTTATCTTTCCTCTCCAATGTAGTTCATGACTCTCTGGTTCAAGGGTACAAATAATTGATTCTTTGCTTCAAGGGTGGGGCCAATACTTGGGCATCAAGGTCCCGAGGGTCAGGATGAGGCCTGTTGACAACAGATTCGGCAAGTCATCTTTGCTAAGCTCCTTTTGCTGGTCTCTGGAGATCAACCTCTCAAGGTATCACTCACAGAAGACTGGCTGCAGGTTCTGCCTCCAGTGGGATGGGATGGCTCAAGACAACCAGAAGCAAACGCAGGACTCCATATGGTGATTACCACAGTCAGAGAGGCAGGAGGAAGCGTAGGGCCTCAGATACGCCCCATTGTTGATGAGAATGCCATTCACCAAGGCGTATGATAAATCGCTCTCTGTAGACCTGGATCCATTTTAAAAGATATGTATAAAGATAGGAATTTTAATTTAAAAATGCTCACATGTATCATGAATTTATTGCACTTTTATTAGCTCTAGGGATGGTTTCAGATGCTGTATTGTAACAGCAAACGAGAACAAAAGTCTCTTCCTGCCTGGAAACTTGTAGATGAAGGGGCAGGAAGACCTGTGTTCACGGCGAAAGTAAGAAGTTCATTTGGGTAAACAATAATAAGTAAATAAGACAGACTGCTTTAAGGACAGTGATGGATGATTATGGACCTCTCTCGGCTGGAGAAACTAGAGGAGATAGCATTTGGGCATTTGTTTAAAATCATTCTCAACATTATTCTTTGTCTTCTTCCCTAAGCCACGTGAACAAGGGGAGTAAGATTTAATTTTCTACAGTTTATGGAGGGAAATGTCTCAAGGGCTGCATGTTTCTTGTCTTAGATGAATAATTAATATGTTCTGTTTTCTAAATGAAAACCCTGTAGAAAAAGGAAATCTGAACTATCATAAACCTGCACAGATACAGCTAAAATTTCTGGAAAGCATTTAAATTGGAAAGGCCTCTGCACCTCAGCAAGCCAAATATCCACGGGGTTTCCCACTCCTAGGTAGCAATGAGTAGAGAGAGGCTAATTCATCAGCATGGCTCTCTTGGTGTGTGCTCACTTACCAAGTACACACATGTGTGTCAAGGCTAGCCGACAACCTCAGGTGTGTGTGTGTGTTGTGTGTGTGTGTAGGTCAGAGGACACTTTACAGGAAGGGGTCCCTGGGGATTGAACTCAGGTTATCAAGCCTGGGAGTAAATGGCCTTTCCTGCTGAGCTATTTTTCTGACCACTGAGTTTTTTTGAGACAGAAGCTCTCATTGGTCTGGAGCTTGCCAATTCAGCTAAGCTGGCTAGCCAGTGATCCCCCAGGGATACATTTGCCTCTACCTTCCCAGTGCTGCTCCCCAGTCATAAGCACTTGCTGTTGGCTCAAGAGTTGGGAGGTGGGGTTCTACAGACCAAATTCGGGTACTT